GGAGGACCCTGGGCTGTAGTCTCTGCAGTCAACAGTCTGCAGCAACAGCAGGGTAACAGCGGGGGCTGGAGGACACTGGGCTGTAGTCTCTCTCTGCAGTCAACAGTCTGCAGCAACAAGGGTTGAACTCCAGGGCTCTGGCTCTGGTCAGAGGAATGGGGCTTCTCTGGTCCCAAGAGGTGACATTGGCATGCTGACTTGCTAGGAAAACTGTCAATAGAGAGCTACCTAATCCCCGCCACGGAGCCCTGAACTCTACTAGATTATCTTGCCACAGGAGATTTTCTGGTAAGAAGCAATACCAAAACCTGGCCTTGTCCTTAGGAGCCCAGCCAGACTGCCTGCACTGCCGAGGGCCCTCCAGGAAGGCTGTGTGTTTTAGAGACTTTAGAAGCAGCATAAAGCCTGCCTGAAAACAGAGCGGCACAGTGGGGTTATTGATTATCGTCCACCCTCATCCTCGAGAGTGTACTCTGCCCTGCTGTGTGGTGCGCTCTGACCTCTATACCACTCTGAACCCTTTCAACAGAAGTCACACGGACCTGGGACCTGAGCGGAGTTCTGGCTGCAGTTCAGGTGATATTTCTTCCCAACTATGGTTATATCTCCTTCACCTTCACTGTGGTAGGCCATGGAGGCCACACCCCTGTGTTGAGACCACAGATGTCTCTGCTCTCGGCTCCTTTTCAGTCACTGCTTCCCTGTGTGGATGCGTTTGTGGGTCAGGTTCCAGGGTCTGCCTTGCTGTTCCACTCTGGAGTCTCTGTGCTTTTGCTCCACTTGTCCCCCAGCTGGCTGCACGTCTGTGCTAACCCAGCTCCCGGTCTCAGAGCGATGGTCGCTTGCAGGCAGGACGTCTCTCCCAAGTGCCCTACTAATAGCCATGTGGTGAGCTCATGGCACTTCCAGTGTTGGATTGACGAGGTGATACTAGAACCCAAATGGCAGGTCCTTGTGGGGTTTTTGTTTGCTTGTTTGTTTTGTGTTAATTTTGTGTAACTGGGTCTTGAAGGTGAACTTAGAAACTTCCGTAGCCCTTAGTTTCTAATACAAGTGTGTAGAGAGCTGCGTGGAGCCACACCTAAAAGATGGTGCAGGCTTCCACCTTCCACGATCCCAAAAGCGAGTGCTCTCAGTGGTAAACAACACCTTATTTGGCTAGGGCCAGGATCACAGGATGACTGTAAGCTGCTTGCGTATAAGTGGACCTATGGACAGTGCCCACGTGGCGATCCAGGATTGGTAGCCCAGGGCTACTTAAGGACTGGGAGGAGCTTGCCCGGAGAGAGAGAAACTATTGTAACAAGGTCCTGAGTAAACTGCTTGCAAGGAGAGCTCCGGTGTTGCGTCTTCCTTGCTGGTCGAGGCAGTCGTGACAAATGGTGGCCTGTACGGGATTCTCCTCTCCTCTCCCTGGAGCCCAGAACTTGCAGCAGTCACGGGGTACACCGGTAAGTCCTCAAGGTAAGATTGGGGATCCGCGACCAAAGCGGGTTATTTGCTCTCGCCTGTAAACAAAGGGAGAGTGGGGAAGTAGAGCCGCGACTAGAGCAGACAAATCGAAAGTGAAAGTAAAGCCTACTACAGCTGACGGGCTACAAGTCTGTAGAGCACATTCGGTTCGCTGGCCCAACAAACTGAAAGTAAAATTGTCGGACACTATTTGCTCTTAGCTGGTGCGGGAGAATTATCTGTATTCTGTCAATTATATTTTAATAAAACGCTGATTGGCCAGGCAGGCAGTATAGGCGGGAAAGCCAGACAGGAAGTAGGGGTGGAGCAAAGAGACTTGGAGTATTCTGGAAGCAGAAGCTCTCTCTCAGCCACTCCTGCGCAGACCACCGAAGAGGCAACATGTAAGCTGTCACACTGAGAAAGGTACTGAGCCCATGTGGCTAACATAGATAAGGATAATGGGGTAATATATGTTATAAGAGCTAATAAGTAGCCTGACCAAATGGGCCAATCAGTTTATAACCTAATGTAGACTCCGTGTGATTTTCCTTGGGACTTGCTGGCTTGTTGGGGTACCGGGCGGGACAGAAACCCCAACAAGCCGGCCCTCGTGTTACACTTAGCAGCTTGGGTACTCTTGAATACAGTGTTCTGGTTCATCGTTTTTACTTATTGCTGTAGGGAGTGTATTGAGAATCCTCAGTGAATAGACATGTAGAATTCTCCTTCTCACCCAATTTTTCTGGCTTTGAACGAGCTGCTTCGTTCAAAAAATCAGGGCAGAAATGATGACGGCCTCAGCATTTCCTGTATTTCAGGATCCGCAAGGCTACCGATTCCATGAGCCTTTGGATTTTAAGGTCATCAAGACATTGGCAGAATCTGTCCAGACTTATGGCACTTACAGTCGACTTTATGGTGGCCCAAGTGGAAGCTCTACATAGATACACCATGACTCCAGCTGATTGGATGAACCTAGCACGAGCATGCTTGTCCCCTGGCCAGTATCTAGATTGGAAAGCTCTTTTAATTGAATTGGCCAATGCACAGGCTGCAATAAATCCAGCAGCTGGAGGGGCACAAGCAGTCTGGGACACAGATATGTTGCTTGGACAAGGCAGGTTTGCCAACCAGCAAAATGGATTCCTCCACAAGTGTATGATCAGATTAATAACATTGCCACAAGAGCATGGAAGACCTTACCTAATAAAGGGGAGGTAATTGGTAATTTGACTAAGATCCTTCAAGGACCTATGGAGCCTTTTTCTGATTATGTGGCTAGGATGGTGGAAGCGGCAGGAAAGATCTTTGGTGACCCGGACACCGCTATGCCGTTTGTCAAGCAGCTAGTGTGTGAACAATGTACCCAGGAGTGCAGAGCGGCTATCACCCCATATAAAAATAGAGGATTAGAAGTCTGGATGAGAGCATGTAGAGCATTAGGAGGTCCATTAACCAGTGCCGGACTGGCAGCTGCAGTACTTAGATAGCTCCAGAAAAGGTTCAACAAGATGAGGTAGTAAAGTATTTAGGGTCTAAAATAACATATAATCAAATTATACCACAAAAGGTAGAATTAAGAAAAGATCATTTGCATACATTAAATGATTTTCAAAAATTATTGGGAGATATAAATTGGATCAGGGGCAGTTTGGGCATGGCATATTATGAATTAAAACCATTGTATGATATTTAGTTGGTGATGTAGCTCTAGATTCTCCCAGACAGTTAACCAGTGAAGTTCGACAAGCACTCTCTCTTATAGAGGAAAAATTATCTAAAGCCTTTTTAAAACGGGTGCAGGCTGAAAAGGGTATTGCTTTATGCATTTTACCCACTAATCTACAACCCACGGGTATTCTGTGGCAGGAAGGACCACTACTTTGGATTCATCCCAGGATTTCCCCCGCGAAATCCATAGAGTATTATCCTATTGCTGTCGCTTTGCTTGCCCAGCAAGGCATTCAAGCTTGCCTGCAACATTTTGGAGTTGCACCATGTGTAATAGTCACCCCATATGATACTAATCAAGTTAATATTTTATGTGCCACTTTTGATGATTGGGCTATTTTACGGTGCTCCTATTCTGGGCGCATCGATTGTCATTTTCCTAAGCATCCACTGTTAACCTTTTTTAAAGAACATCCGGTAGTCTTTCCAAAAATCACTTCTTTACGGCCCATTCCAGGAGCCAGCGTTATATTTACAGATGGCTCTAAGACTGGCTGTGGTGCTTACATGGTGGACTCCACAGAACCTGTTAAATATCAGTTTTCTCCTGGAGCTCCTCAGCAAGTGGAGCTAGCAATCGTGGTTGAGGTGTTTAAATCCTGTCCATTTACATTTAATTTGGTTTCAGATTCGTGTTATATTGTTAATGCCTTAAAATACCTTGAGTGCACTGAACCTATAAAATCCTCCAGCCCTGTACATAGGCTATTTACACAATTACAGCTGTTACTCTGGCAACGTAAGAATCCTTTCTTTATACAGCACATTTGTGCACATACAGGTTTGCCAGGCCCTCTAGCTGCCGGCAATGACAAGGTTGATCAGTGTACCAGACAAGAATGGATGTTTCTTGCCTCTGCCCTGCAGAGGGCTCATGATTTTCATAAAGAGTTTCATGTTAACACCAAAACCCTACAACAAAAATTTGCCATTTCCCGTGCTGATGCACGCAAGGTGGTTGTGGATTGGCCACAATGTGTCATACATCATCACCTTCAAACTTTGGGGGTCAATCCACGTGGATTGCTCCCCCTTAAACTTTGGCAGATGGATGTTATCCATCTCACCGAGTTTGGCAAGGTAAAATACGTACATGTCTCTGTGGATACATGCTCTGGCATTATCCATGCCACACCCATGACAGGTGAAAAGGCAACCCAAATGATTGCTCATTGTCTAGAAGCGTGGGCCACCTGGGGAAAACCCCAGCAACTGAAAACAGACAATGGTCCCGCTTATATGGGACAAAAGTTCACCTCCTTCTGCCAACGCATGGGTGTTCAACTCATACATGGACTGCCTTATAATCCACAAGGCCAAGGTATTGTAGAGCGTGCTCATCGCTCCTTAAAGGAATTGTTTCAAAAACAAAAAGGGGGGAAAGGTCATCAACAGACCCCCAATAATAGACTTTCCTTAGCCTTGTTTACACTTAATTTTTTAAATTTGGATAATACCAATCAGTCTGCAGCGGACAGGCATTCTTGCCCATTCAGTCCTTTAAAAGGATTGATAAAATGGAAGGACGCTCTGACAGGGGTCTGGCATGGCCCTGATCCCGTGCTGGCATGGGCACGAGACTCTGTTTGTGTTTTTCCACAGGATCATTTGGACCCTATTTGGGTACCGGAACGTTTGGTGAGAAAAGTACAGGTGCGAGGAACGACAAGCAAGATGAAACCTCAGACTGTGAGCCTACTGATAGTGACGGTCCTGATGTCCCCGTTGTTGATCCAGGCCAATGAAGAAATCTTGTGGGCCATAGCAAAAGCACGGCCAATTCCTATACCTGTTCATTCTACATCAAAAGTTTTACCTGTCTTTTTTCCACTAGTTGTGAATTAGGCTTACCCTGCGTAAATTTAGACCCTAGCATGGCTATGTATAATGCAGCTGATGTTCCTCTTCAAGGAGCCTTATGTTTTTCTCTTGAAAATAATTCTAACCCACGTATATGGTTGAAAAATAGCTCAGTGGGTAATTGGCTTGACCCGTTGACCGATAATCATGTTCCTCTCGCCATGCTCGTGGAAGCACTGAAAACAATAAGTACAGGTGCTTCCTCAGGCACAGGCAGTGGTAAAAAACGGTGGTAATGCCACAAGTATTACTACCTTATTGATGTTGATGGAAGGGCTTCGGCCTTCAAGTTCACGCTTTGGATTAGGGAAATCCACCGCTCGACAAGTGTTACCTTATTGTGCCCCTAATTTAGGGTACCCCCTCATTGGACACCATGTCAAAGCCCAGATCGTAAGTCAAAGCAGATTGCACCAGGTTTTGAATTTACCCCTCCTTTAGGAAGATATTCTTTTAATCTTGCTAATCGGACTAATCAGAAAACTAATAAGAAAAATACTTGGCCCTGGTTTCAATGGATTCTTTCTAATGAAAGAGGGGCCTTTTCATCCCTAGAGCCTTTTGCTGCCCTTCGTAATTTGACTGTTCGGCTACTTAACATCTCTGCCAGCCGAGATATGAAGGGAGTTCTTTCAAATGTTACTATAAATAAAATGATGAACAACCTTACCATTTCTGCCAGTCCAGTGTGCTTAAAGGCACCCTTCTTCTTTTTGCTGACTAATATTACCAATGCCACAGAGGATGTGATCTATTGTAATTCCTCTAAGGCAACTTGCCTCGCAAGTCAGTGCTGGAATGGTACTTATAACATGGCTGTGGTGATGAGAGTTCCCACATATGTTCCCATCACAGTCAGAGTTGATACCGGTACCTTCCCAATCGCTCATTTGCTCAGAACAAAATGAGACTCTGGGATAACAGCAGCCCTAGTCTCCACAATTGCTGTATCTGCTGCAGCTGCCACGACAGCTGCTGTTGCCATGGCTGCAACAACTAAGATTGCAGAGACAGTTAATGAAACTGTGGAAAGAACAGCCTCCACAATGACCACTTTGAAATCCACTGATGGTCATTTAAAAGCTGGCATTTTGACAGTAAACCAAAGAGTAGACCTCTTGCAAGAGCAAGTGGATGATTTAGTAACCTTAACCAGTGTAAGATGTATTCATTCCCTCTCCTCTTCATGCATCACTTCCAGATTGGCTGAGAATCTTACAAAGAATGGTAACCTGAGCCGGCAGCTGAGCGCATACCTCCAGGGAAACTGGAGCACAGAGTTCGAGACCCTGACGGACACCCTGACTAACCAGATCATTTCCCTGAATGCCACACGGCTGGAATTACCTACTGCTGATGCTTTTCTTAATATGCTGAAACGGACTTTTAGTTATTTTAAGGAGTGGGCGGGAATAGGAGCCCTGACAGGCCTAATGGTGCTTGCCTCCCTGGTATGTCTGTGGTGCATTTGTCGCATGAGAGCCTCACAATGTCGCAGTGAAGCAATGATCATTCAAGCCTTCATGGCTATTGAAGCAGGACAGTCCCCCCAAGCTTGGTTAAATACTTTAAAAGATATATAAGCACAGGATGCGAGGCTTGCACACTGCACTTGAGGGTAATTACATCTACCTCAAGAAGAGCAAGTCTGACTGCACATGGACCGGTGCCTAACTCCCACCTCTGTAAAAAGGGCACCGAGCGGGTCTAGTGTTTTCTGGGTGGATGACACCTGGAGAAACGCTGGTACATGCTCTAATTCGTAAAGAGATCAGACCTCTACTCTTGCCTGTCGCTTTTAAAACAAAAAAGGGGGAACTGTAGAGAGCTGCGTAGAGCCGCACCTAAAAGATGGTGCTGGCTTCCGCCTTCAGCGATCCCGAAAGCGAGTGCTCTCAGTGGTAAACACCTTATTTGGCTAAGACCAGGATCACGTGATGATCGTAAGCTGCTTGCGTATAAGTGGACCTATGGACAGTGCCCACGTGGAGATCCAGGATTGGTAGCCCAGGGCTACTTAAGGACTGGGAGGAGCTTGCCCGGAGAGAGAAACTATTGTAACAAGGTTCTGAGTAAACTGCTCAGAAGAGCAAGAAGAGCTCCAGTGTTGCGTCTTCCTTGCTGGTCGAGGCGATCACGACACAAGTGGTCAGGACATGTGGTTCTTTGTTTCTGGGTTCGGTTCTGACATCTGATCCTAGGCTCCCAAGCAAAGATGCCCCTGTCACTCATTATTATCTGTCTGTCTGTCTGTCTGTCTATCTATCTCTCTATCTATCTATCACCGATCTATCTATCTATCATCCATCTATCCATCTATCTATCATCTGTCTATCTATCTATTACCTATCTATCTATCTATCATCTTCCTAGCTATATCATCTATCATCTATCTATCTATCATCTATCTAACATATGTCTATCCATCTATCTATGTATCTATGTATTTATGTATCTATTTATCTATCTATCATGTGTCTGTCTGTCTATCTATCATCTATCTATCTATCTATTATCTATCTATCTATCTATTATCTATCTATCTATCATCTATCTATCTATCTATCTATCTATCTATCATCTATCTATCTATCATCTGTCTATCTATCAATCTATCATCTATCTATCTATCTATCTATCATCTATCTATCTATCTATCTATCTATCTATCTATCTATCTGATTTTCAAGACAGGGTTTCTCTGTGTAGCCCTGGCTGTACTGGAACTTGCTTTGTAGACCAGGCTGGACTTGAACTCAGAAATTCACCTGCCTCTGCCTCCCCAGTGCTGGGACCCCAGGCACTCACTGGCGTTTCGCTATGGTGGAGTAGACTTCTCTATGTGCTCCTTGCAGTCTTTCTCTTCTAGTTGGGTAACTCCCTTTGGATTCCATAAATGGGACTTGTTTGATTCCTAATCTTTCACAAGAGAAAAGCTGACTTGGCCTAAAAAGTTGTTTGTGTAAAACTTCTTAGATCACTGGGGAAATAGTTAAGAGTTTAAAAACCTAGATTTATGCAATGTAACCAGCTGATTTAAAGAGCTCAGATGGGTGGTACCCAGCAGCCGTGGGCCCAGGACCTATTGAAAAGTCTATTGCTTGCTAAGGTGGTCACGTGACTATGTTCTGACTCTTGCGGCTGTGTAGATTGCTGTGTGGAAGCTTGTGAGAGCAACGTTCTAGCTACAGTGGTGGAGCCTGAGGATGGGACCAAGTCATGGAGAAGGCAGAGCGGCGAGCTGGGTCTCTGAGGCTTCCCCATATCCTCCCTGTATGCTGTATATCTGCAGTGCATGTAGCTATAAGGTATGTATGTATATATAATACAGGTGCATATTTAGATACAATGTACACATGTGCACATATACACACACATGCAATACATGTACACATATATGCATATATGTGTACACACACACACACACACACACATATATACACCTATATACATATATGAGTGCCTACATGTACGGAGTATGCCACATGTGTGTTCGTGTCTCTGGAGGCCAGAAGAGGGTGTTGGATTCCTTGGAACTGGAGTTCCAGACAGTTGTAAGTTGTGGGTGCTGTGACCCCAGGTGGTCTTAACCACTGAGCAATCTCTGCAGCCCCTGTTTATTTCCTTTTGAGACAGACTGTCCCTATGTATTTCAGGCTGAACTTGACCCTGTCATTCTCTTGCCTCAGCCTCTCAAGTGCTGCTGGTATTACAGGCACGTGCTGCCGTGCTCGACAAGGGACAAATGTGTTTACTCTTGATTTAGTCTTTATCTCCACGTTCCATCTCTCGCAGCCATGTGAAGCCCACCCAGCCGCAGGTACTAGGAGCAGACCGTTAACTGGAAGCCACAGGGTACTGCGGTCACGAGCAGCGTGGAGCAGTCTCTATTCTTCCTCATTTCCTGCCTTTTGAGGCAATTGGATGAACTCTTGTCAGATGCAGTATTTGAATAGCTTTGGAAACAGTTTCTGGTGACTTTAGTGCCCTACCCTTAATGTACACTGCAGAACTTCATACTGCTTGCTTTGGCTTTTAAAAGACCATACCCTGTTTAAAAAGAAAAGCCCTTAGAGAAACACTTTCCATAAATGCCAGGGCTTCCTTACTAATCAACTAATGCAGATAGAGCTCACTCCAGGAGAACTGCGCACAACCTCAGTGAAATGTTTGGAAGCTGTTTAAGCTCCACAGGTGAAAGTTAACATTGTTGCAGCACCGGCTTTCTGTTCCCAGTATGAGCCTGAAACGCACGGTTGAGCTTTGATAAGAGGGACGTTTTCTCCCAGAGCAAGCTTATCTTTTCCTGAGTTAGCCCAGCTGTGGGTGACGTTGCCTCCCCCTTAAAACAACGTTTTCCTATCTGCCCCAAGTCTGATGGCTACAGAGGCAGGAATGATACCTGCATTTCAGATCTGGTGATAAGGAAGAGAGGAAGATGGGGAGAGAAGGAAGGGAAAAACCCTGGCAGGAGGGAAGGCTCTCTGGAGGGGTCTGTATCACCCCCCCCCCAACCTTGTCTGCCACTCTGTTGAAATCCCCAGGAATCAGAGCTGGGAGGAGACTGAAGCTGGTGCCTGCCTGCCTGCCAGCCAGAGGGCGTGCGTGCCTCAGGAAAAGACACCTCACACAATCCTGACAGCTTCAGGTAACCTTTCCGGAGAGTTTGGGATCTAAACTCAGTGATGGGGAGGCCGCATCTGACCCGGGCTGCTTGCTTATGTCTGAATGACCCTTGCCCTCTGTTTGAACTTAACCACTGAAGAAGATGGGCTTGGGGGAGGGGTGACTGGGCCTCAGTGTTCCTCTTCCCCGTGTGACCTCATTAAGGAAGGGTCCTTTCTCTGCTCTTTACTACCTTCTGTCTATTGAAGTCGTCTACAGAGCATGCGCGCGTGCATGGGGGCTAGCTTCCAGGCCTTAGCTCTGAACCTCACAATCCTGTATCAAGGAAAAATCTTGTAAACTGCGAGTTTCTCGGGGATGGACGAGAACAGCCTCAAATTCAGCCTAGTCTCTCTCCCAGCTGCCACAGCCAGCTGTGCCCGACCCACTGGTGTGCGGCGCTGAGGGGGTGGTCCTGGTTGCGCCCTGACATTTTGCGCACGTCCAGAACTTGAAGGACGCATTTCGGGTGGTTAATAATAGACTTCCTTCTCTGGGCCCTTCTATTCTCAGCCACTGAATACAATTTATAAGGGGGGAAAAATTATCCCATCCCCACCCCCCTGATCAGATCTCATAATTATAGAATAAGGCGCCTGAGAATTCACAGGGTGCTGGTTTCCATGGCAACAACAAGCCATTATATTCTAAAGGCCAAGTCAGAGCTCCACCCCCTCATCCTCACCGCTGCTGGCGTCTTATTGCAGCATTCCAAAATAAACTTGCTGTCTAAAGTAAATCCCGTATAATTAGAGATGAGCTAATCGGTGCCCGGCCGCCTTTGTACGGCCCACGCATCATGTAAACAGATTCTGCAACAGTGATGCTGACCGACTGTTTGATGTCAGATCTTCCTCAGCGGCTAGGAGCAGCATCCATCCACAGGAGCAGGGACCCCCCCAACCGGAAGGCCCCTGTTTTGCCTGACAGTGCTGTCAGAAAGAAAGAGGGCGCTTGGGTAATGCCTGGGCCACCAGATCAATGGCTTTCTCTTGCTCTCCAGAAAGAGGAACAGATCTTTCTGATCTCTCTCTCTCTCTCTCTCTCTCTCTCTCTCTCTCTCTCTCTGTCATTCGCTGGTCACTCCGTTGTCTCCTGCTTCATGCCCTGCTCTTGGGCTAGCCTGGAGGTGGGTTCCGCTTACTGAGGCCCGAGTCTTTTGTTCCCACTCCCTCTTGCAGTCTAGATTTTAAGAGGTGGGGACCCTTCCGGGTTGATCAGAGGGAGGTTTCTTAGGGAATTTTGCTCTCATAGGCAAATGCTGGTTTATGGCAGACGGATGTGGTGAGGAAATAGGATGTTTAGGACATAGGGGCTCCTTAAAGTCTACAAGGACCTGGAGGACAAGAGATCTGGTTGGCTGGCCTGTCAGGAGTCTGATCCATCAACCACAACGGATACTGGGTTTGCTCCTGCACTTCAGACGCACCTGGGCCTGGCGCCAGACTTGCCCCTCTAGCTCTCCAGACCGTACTCTTTCCTGGGTCTTGGCTTCATGCCCCAGCTGGCTGAGAATTCGAAGGAGATTGTGGTTGGGGCAAAGCTCGCCTCGGAAGGCTCCTAGAGGGCTGGCTGCTTCCCGCTCCAGAGGCTGCAGAGGCCAGCAGGTGATCCTCTCTAGGGTCCCTTTGTGCTTGCAACACATGACATTAGCTCAAGTTAGCTAAAGATGATTTTTTTGTTCTACATTTGAGCAGGTAAATTGCATCCATTAACTTTATAAATGTTTGGACTGTGTAACTAAATGTCTATCCACGCCGTATGAAAGGATGGCGTGTATCAGTAAGTCATGAGGATAATAAACCAATACGATTTGTCATGTCTCATGCCGTCTCAGAGCTGTTCCCATGGCAAGGGATCGGTTTATACATCACCTGCCCCATAGTTTTTCTTGTTTTTATTTTCTTCATGTCTGTAGTCAAGATTTTCAGGAGGTCCCCCCTGACCAAATCTGGTTTTATTAATTTTTAAGAAATTCATAGCATTTTGTTTCCTGTGGAAACAAAAACAAAGCTTCTCCCCCAATACACCATATTTTCTGACTTTCATTCTGAAATTAAGGCATTCTTAAAATGTATAGGTTGGTTTAATTTAGCAGTTCCCATAGTCCAATGTCTCTCAGCAGCTGTTGCTTTTGTTCGTTAGCATTTAAAAAATTTAAAGTCAACAAAGCAACTGGCCCTCCTGAGAGACTGCAGGACTAGGAAGCCACATCTGACTCCTTGTCCAGAACTTCTCTTAGTTTTTTTTAGGCCCCATGTTTGGATATTTGAGCCTCCACATGGGACTCTGTTTGTAGCAAACTTCCTTATCTGACTAGCTTTGGACCCCCTAGCCTGCAAATAATGACCTAGAGACTTACTATTAATTATAAAAGCTTGGTCTTATCTTAGGCTCTTTCCCCCAACTAGTTCTTATAACTTAATTAGACTGTGTTTTTTTTTAATATGCATTCTGCCATGTGGCTCAGTTACCTCTTCTTAGTATGGCACATCTGACTTGTTCTGAGTCTGCAGGTGAAATCACATGCCTAGATTCCTCCTCCCGCATATTTTCTCTCTGCCTGAAACTCCCACCTACCCTCTCCTGCCTAGCTATCGACCATTTCACTCTTTATTAAACCAATCAGGTGGCTCCTTGGGCAGAGTCACATCTTTACAGTGTAAACGACTATCCCGCAACACCATGGAGAGATGAACAGGAGATGTATCAAAGCTGGATTGTGGGTGTAAGTGGGGGCTGAAAGATCAGCAAATGGTTTTATGAAACCCTAATGCCCCACAGTCAGATCAGATGTAGGGCTGCATGTTATACGCTTAAAGTCTTTAGAATCCCTGGAGATAGAAATGAAGTCAACAGATTTTATTGTTTCTCTGTACAGGCAAGAACATTAAAATACTGCTCTAGAGCTACCTGTGGAAGAGTGGGCTCAGGAAATTTTGAAGGCAACTCAGATACTCATAGAGGGCCACTTAGGGCACGCTCAAACACTGATCTTTAGAAATTAATTGGCACCTTTGTCTAACAATTGCACATTGATATAAAATTTCTTAAATCACCTTTCTCCTCTGTTCAGATCCTGGCCTGTGATGAAGATGTGTGAAGCAATGTCAGACTGGTCTATCGGACTCTGGCAGCCAGGGTAATTTAAGGGTTCACTGGAATGGGACGGATCACCTGCAGCACGAATTCTAATTGGTATTAGTAGTAAAGACCTAGAGTCAGACACAGGGATTAATGCTGAAGATCAGAGAAGCAAAGCGGTCAGCCAGCCATCAGAGAATCCTTTTACCAATACTCAGATCAAAGTGGGGGATCCTGCCCTCAGACTGCATCTCCAGACTGCATCTGCCTTCAGCAAACCTCAGACTGCAGTGAGCTCCTGTCTCCTGACTTATATTCCTCTCTCTGCCCAGCCATATCACTCCTGTCCCCACGTCTCTAGTGCTGGGATTAAAAGCATGTGACTCCCGAATACTGGGATTAGAGGTGTGAGCCACCACTGCCTGGCCTCCAGTGGCTCAGCTCTGCACTCTGGTCTTCAAGCAAGCTTTATTTGTTAAAACACAAATGTCACTACAGGCTCCGAAGGTTGTGCACAGACTCCAGCGTAATTCACTCCAGGCAACATGTTGCAAAGTGCTTGGATGGTTTGTCTATCAAGATTAAAAATAATTCTTTGACTTTGCATTTGTCACAGGAAAGCAATTTGTGAGGTGGCCTTTCTAGGTATAAGGCCTTGTCTAGGTCCAGTTCCCAGATTTAGCTCAGATTTCCTTCCTGGGACCAGGGTTAGCAGCAACAATGATCTGGGCCGTCTCTAACAGTGTAGCGCATTTGCCTGGTTCAACCCACTGAACTGGAGGCCGGGTGCCCACAGCTCTGCCGTCTAAATCCTGCCACTCCCAACAGGGGCTCTTGTTGGGCAGCCGCATCCAACGGCTGAGATTGCTGTCCTGTGGAGAGCGGCACACTGCAGGAGTGGGGGCCCGTAGTAAGTTGGTGTTTGTCTCGGGGTAGAGGGCACGCAGTGCAGGGTTGAGGCATGGAAACGATACCAGTGATGAACACGGAGTAACAACTTCAGGCTGCCCGAGATCTGCTGGGGCATCATGTCCGCTGTACCCAAAGTGTTCGAAGTCGGGAGAGTTTAGGAGTTAGCTGAGACCTGGGTTAGCAGAGGGCCTGAGTCAGCAACACGGCTGGGAAGGAAGCAAAGGCAGCAGGGAGGTTAAAAACGGGGAAATGGCCACTAGGTTAAGATGATAAAGAATTGAAATTCTGCTCTTTGTTTTAAAATGGTGTGGACACCTAATGAGACACTTAGTTTAATTTTCCTTACTTTATTATCTATGTGTGTCAGTCAGCCAGGTGATGGTCAGAGGACAATCTGAAGGGACAGGTTCTGTTTTCGCCATGGGAGTGCTGGGGATTGAAATCAGGTCATCAGGCTGAGCAGCAAGTGCCGTGCCCACGGACTCACCCTGCAAACCCAGTATTTAGACTTTTTTTTGATTTAATAAAGTTTTATTTTTCCAAATGTACAGCTGATTGAACCTGATCATGCATCTTCACCAGCAGCTGGGGCATCTCCACCCTTTGTGTTTCTGGTGTAAATTACTTGGGCTCTGTGCTTTGAAACCTGCTTGATAAGCCCTTTACTAAGGAGCTCCTGAAGGGCTGCCCTGGCCAGGAAACCGCGAATCTTCAGTCTCTCAGAGACCACAGCTGGAGTAATAAGTTTATAGTTGGGAACTTCCTTACAGAGTTTGTCGTATGTAGCCTTGTCAAACAGGACTAGATTGTTGAGCTTGTCCCGAACTTTGCCTTTGGACCGCTTCTTCTTTTTGGCCTTGCCACCAGATTTATTTACTGGGCCTTTGTCTTTTTTGGCCGACTTTCCGGCATCTTTCTTCTTCTTGTCATCCTTGGGCAGCATGATGAAGCTCAGAGAGAGGCGACAACCACTGCAGCCTCCCTAAGATGTCGGGAAAAAAGCAGTATTTAGACTTTTTAATGACATAATTTTAGTCTCAAAATCATACAATTCCCTCTTCAAAAGAACTGTTTAGATATGAACTAGTCACCTATACACTGGTATAAACAAAATTTCTGCAAGCAAGTCTTGGCAGGAAGGGAAGCCAGAGCTGTTATAAACGCCAACGGGCGAGTTGTCATAGTGGGACACAGAAGAGCCTGGAGCCACCGAGGCCATCGTCACGATCATGCCCTTGTACAGCGATATTTTACTTATGTTTTAATAAATAAATCTTGCCTGAAGATCAGAGGCTAAAACTGAGCCACTAGAGGTCAGGCAGTGGTGTTTACATACCTTTAATCCCAGGATTTGGGAGACAGGCAGTGGGAACTCTGTGAGTTCAAGGCCACCCTGGGCTACACAAGATCAGTGCAGAAACAGATCCAGGTGAAGGTGGTTCACACCTTTGATCCCAGTACTAGGGAGTCACATGCCTTTAATCCCAGCACTAAAGGGGAATATAAGACAGGAGGAGACAGAGGATCAGGGCTCAGTCTGCAGTCACCCAGCCTCAGTAGATGAGAGACTTCTCTAGTGGCTTGGCTGTTTTACTTTTCTCGTTGTCCTCTTGAACGCTAATATCTGTCTCTGGGATTGTATTATTCGTGCTACACTCTGGGTCTGCACCGTGTCGATCCTCCATGTCAGAGCTACCCTCACTCTCGTCCCAGCCTGTGGGGAAGACATCCTACCCACACATCTTCAGTTCTTGTATCTTGTTGTAATCTTTAACATTACTTTGAGGTTTGGGATACTATTATTCCTTTTTGTGCAGGGCAGTGTATCTTTATTTGCTTATTGATATGGAAGTAGCATATTTTATCTTTATCCATATTAAGTGCAAAACTAGACTGGGTGATTTTGATACCTTTATTGGTTCACACACCTGTCATTACAAGCCCAGTTTTAGAATATTTTCTTGACCCCAGCAAGCTGTCCCGTCCCCAGCATTGACTTCACTTATGGGACTTCTTAGTCCCAGCATTGACTTCACTGTGGTAGACAGATGTTTAAGACCTGTCCTGCTTACTTCAGTGAAGCAGTAGAAATGATTACATGGAGCTTTGGCTTTGGGAAATACTAACCCTCGTTCCAGATCTTTAAGCAGTTCGTTTGACTACGTTATTTACCTGTTCAGATGTTCTGCTGACAAGCGCGGTTAATAATACCTATGTTGTAAGGTTGTTTGAATAATCGCAGCTCACAGAAGCAGAGGCTTGCTGACCACATAGATTTTTTGGTGACAGCATGGGATCATTTTAGTACACATGCACAGAGGCTTGTGAACAATGGAAATTGGTTAGGTACAGGGGGACTGAAACCTGGGGTCCATTTCCTTCCATCTGATAACTTAAGCCATGGGACGGTGTGAGAGAATAAAGTGGTTTATTTGTGATAGATACTGGCTGCTCTAAATAACCCAATGAATTTTAAAATCTGTTTTTTTAAAAATTTAAATTTCTCAAGAGTTATTCCTCTAAAAATCTACCCAGAATTTCTTTCCAAAGAGCTTTTCTTCCAAATGGCTTCAGTCCCCCTGAGCTCCTCCCAACTCATCTCTGTAGCCTACAATTTTATCTTGCTTTCTCCTGAAATAGATTTCAAGGGTGAGGGGCGTCCTGTTTCCAGTTTTTTCAGACTGGGATGGTTTTTCTCTTCCGGTCTGAAATGTAAGATATATAAAATGCAATTGCTGTTTCTTGTGAGCATCTCCTGCGTCTGCTTTCTGCTTTTGTATTTATTGCCCCCGAGTCAAGCTCACAATAAGCTGTGGTATGGCCCGGAGCTACTGATGCTGTGCCAGTTGTGGTGGAGGAAACAGGCTCTTGGCTGGGTGCCATCTTAGGCACTTGGAAACTAAACGTGAGTGGCCACCAGGGGACGCCATACTCCCAGAGTCCTGTCTGGGTCTTCATTTGAGCAGTAAGAGAGCTTGGGAAGAGTCTTTAGTCTTCTTTCTCTGGGGCTGCACAGGTGAGGAGTTTCCTGACCCCTGAAATTTGGGGTCCTTCCATGGTTTCTGCTGTGATTGACGCCTTTATCTTTTTTTTTTATTGGTTTGATTTCTTAATTTTCTCTTTTCTAAAATCTGCTTGTAAAGACTTCCCTCCCTCTCTCCCTTTCTTTCTCTGTTCCTCTTTCCATTTTAGAGACTGAACCCAAGGCCATGTGTACGAAAGCTGTACGCTCTACCACTGAACAACACCCTTGGGCCTAAGATATGCATTCTTGGCCTTTATCCTCTAAGGATGAGGATCAGGTATGGTCCTAGTTTGTTTCTCTCTTGCTTTGATAAAACACTGGCCAAAGCCGATTTTGGGGTGGAAAAGGTTTATCTGGCTTACAAGCTGTAGTCTATTATCTAAGGAAGCCAAGGCAGGAAGTGAAGCAGAGACCAAGGAAGATGCTGCTCCCATTGCTCAGCCTGCTTTCTCACACAACTGAGGACTACCTGCCCAGGTGCAGCACTGAGAGGTGAGAGGGCCCTGCCAACCATCCCAGGGTCCCTTTTAGCTTCTGCCATGGGACACTAGCTTCTGTCACCTCCAGAAGTTCCCCTGAAGTTAGTCCTGGCTATACTGGTGTTATCTAGCCGAGTCCAGTATTAGCAGTCATTAATTGAAAGTGGGAAGTAGCTTTGAGTGCATGGGCACAGGAAACAACTTCCTAAATATAACACCAGTATCTCAGATACTAAGAGCAACAGTAAATAAATGGGACCTGCTGAAACTGAGAAGCTTCTGTAAGGAAAGGACACAGTCAATAAGACAAAACGGCATCCTACTGAATGGGAAAATATCTTTGCCAACCCCACATCAGACAGATGACTGATGTCCAAAATACATAAAGAAACTAGACATCAAAATATCAAATAGTCCAATTAAAAATGGGGTACATATCTAAACAGAAAATTCTCAACAGAAGACTCTCAAATGGCTGAAAGACACCTAAGGAAATGTTCAACATCCTTAGCCATCAGGGAAATGCAAATCAAAACTACTCTGAGATAGCATCTTACTCCAGTCAGGATGGCTAAGATAAAAGACACTGATGATAGCTTATGCTGGAGAGGATACGGAGTAAGGGGAATACTCCTCCATTGC